GCCAAAACATTGATATGTTGTATATTACGGTCCGAGATCGGGGGCTAGGGGTCTAGGCCTTAGCTTATTAGCGGCTTTAATAAAATTTTTGGGTTGCATTGTAAGCTCGATGCCATCGAAGGAGGTTGAGCCGGCTGCAAAAAAGCAGAAGCTGGATCCGGACACCTCAAACGGGGCATTCAAGGACTATTTGCTGATCACGGGAACCGTAGGTTTGGAGTTGAAGTTGTAAATTAGGGGGTTATAATTTATTTAAGGTGTAGGATATTGTGTATATATATATACACACATATATTGTGTGTGTATATATATATACACATATTTTCTTATAGGGCTATATAGGCCTAGGGCTTCCGGGTTGGGGTCACGCTAAATACTTGTCGGAAGGACCGGGCACCGCTGCTCGATCCGGGGTCGGTTGTGCCCTTGCCATCAACGGTGCCGGCGAGCTCGAGCTCTGGCGATCCCCCCATCCCCTTCGGATCGATCAAAGATCGTCAAGCTGAAGTTCGGCAGAAGATCCGGGAGGATACCTGGGTACTTCTCGATCTGATTTCTAGAATTGTAACACTCATGCGTGCAGGAGCAGGCCGCGAAGATCTCCGCGAAGAAAGCGAAGAATCAGAAGGGCGAGGAGGCCAAGCAGACGGAACAGGCGCCGACTCAGGACGGCGATGAGGCCAAGCCGACAAAAGAGTCGGCGACGAAGGACGGCGATGATGAGCTCGAGGAGGCCAAGCCGGCGACGAAGAAGAATGCCAATCCGAAAAACAAGGGGGGGAGGTCTAACAAGAAGGAGCTCACGGACGCGGAGATCACGAAGATCAAGGAGAACCTAGAGAAGATCCTGCTCCTGGAAGACTGCCGGCCAAAGGCATGGGAGGGTGTTGAGAAATTCGAGCCGCAGAAGAGGCTTTACTGAACGTACGGATATCCGAGGCACCCCCGGTCTGATTGAAGATCGCGATTTCGAATCTAGCTAGCTAAGGACGATCAGTGTGCCAGTGCCGCCGGTGACATACTATGATCGAAAAAAATGCAAACCGATGAACGTGCGCCTGGACAAGGGTTCCTTCTACGTGCAGTATGTCAATGCACCGGACCCGAACATCAATGCAACCTATCCGCATATCGGATCGTGCGAGTATTACCGCTAGCTATAGTACTGCTGCTGTGCTGCGAGCTAGCCATGCATGAAATGTAAGGTGGACGGCAAAGATGGATCGACGCTGAACTGGATCCGGGCATACGAGGACCCAGATTTGTCTCGGCTGCGACTCGCCAATTGATTACAAACCTAAACCCCTCCCTGGCTTTGCATGGGGTGGGTCAACAAGGGGTGTTTGATCAGATCTAGCATGAAATGCATGCTATACATGAATGGAAGATACACATAACAAATGCAATGCAGCCCCAAGCCACCCATGCTAGCGTAAATGCTGGAAAATCCTGGATCGAGCGGGTTGCAGGCTCCTATGCAGAAGCCTAACCCCGATATATCATGCCTAGCCTAGGTGGACTTTGGCGAAGGTCATGGCTGGATGGATTGCTCCGGATCCGGCTTCGCGAGCGGAAGGCTCGTCCGTGGCTAGCTATAGAAGATTGCAGGATTCTTATCATATGCTTGTTGCACGGGTCCTGGATCGTGCTGTATCAGCTTCAGAATGCCCGGCGAATGCCAATTAATGTACCGCCCAACTGATATATGCTGCATCAAAGCTTAACCTGGAAACCGGAAGGTGATGCCGCTGCCGCCCCGTGATCAATTCGGCCACTCGTTTGCGCGAATTTAATTTATGGGCTTTAAATGGTCGCAGGTGAACTTCACAGGTTGGAGTCTATAAGGGCTGTGGAATTCTAGACCCAGGTCTATGCATGCGCTAGAGTACACAGGCTGAGCAGGCTCCCAGCAATATTCCTGCTAGGCCATCCATGTACAAGGCTCAGAAGTCCATCTAGAACCCGAAGCCCTTCAACTGTATACTTCCCAATAAAGCTAGGCTCCGGAGTTGTTATGATTATGGGCGATACTTTCTCAAATCTTCTTAAAGCTCGAAACCCCACATTTGCTCTCGAGATCTCTCCCCATCTATCTACTAAGTATTATTTTGGACACTAGCTCTAGTACTATAGTTAATTGTAATGTAAGTATACTGCCCAGGGCACGCCTCCATCGTCGCAGCGATGGCAGCATTGGGCGCCGGCTGATCAGTGCCTCCGGAGCAAGGAATATTAAGTACGCCCTTAAAGCTTGCAGGTTTTAAAATTATCTAGGGCGCGACTGGGGCTGCATTACATAAATCTCGAGCTCGTTCTTCCGGGCGCTCAAACTTGTCTATATGCAAAGATTAGCAGGGTTTAGGTTTAACGGTGTAGCGGTGAAGTTTTTTGTGGGGGTGGGGGGGTTTCGGGGTTGAGTTATATATTTATATATACATGTATATCTGTTACGACTAGGTATACGAATATAATAATATTTTTGTGTGTTAATATATAGATGGTGGGTCTTCTCCTATCGTACTAGGACGGGTTTGGGTACCGGTGGGGTGGAAGCCGGTAACGTGAAACCTGATTATCATGCATGTACGTTAGGGTGTAGGGCCCGGGTTCGAGGTTTTCAGGACTCACAATTGGACGGGTTTTAGGGTTTATTAGCGGGGCGGCAAACCTGAAGCGTTTTTGGGTACGGTAGCTGGGTAGATCTTTACAGGCCCATGTATATGGGGCAGGGGTGGTAACCGCAAGCCGGTGGGGTGGAACTGATTTCAATTAATCAAACCTACTGGAATCTATAGGGCATTTATATATGATCCTGATGCCTATTCTAGGACGTGCATGGGCTGAGCGGGCTCGGGGTTGCTGCAATAGGTGGGTCCAATCGACGAATATATATATATATATATATATATATATATGATCCAGAGCTCCTTTAAATTGCTGGTATAAAGACTCTCTAGGTGTTTGTGCTGCAAAGTCTGTACGTGTAGGCCATTTAAGGACGCTTTCCAAATTAAGTACGTGGCGACGGCTGTTGTTGAAGCTCGCCATATTAGCCTGCGTACGAATTCCTCATTCGGAACGTAGGACATGCAACCTCTTTCGAAATTCTACATCTGATCGTATCTCTCTCTGAACAATTCATATTCAATAGCCTGCAGACCCTCAGAAGCCCTTGTTCCCCAATGCAAGTCGTACAAGTTTGGCTTAGTTTTAAGGTTTTAGGCTAGGATTTAGAGGTTTAGGGTTGGGTCCTCTAGAAAGACCTCCTTATCAAAAGGGCTTAGGGTATTATGGTTATAATATTATATATTACGGGCTCTTGCAATCAGGGTTTGGGGTTTAGGTTTCGGCTTGAGGGTGGGAGGGGTTAATTAGGGGGTTTTAGTATACATTCATTCATATAGAATCCCCAACCCTTTACCCTTAATAAGCCCTTGCAATCTCGGATCATGCGAGGGGACAAAAGGGTCGTGCAAAAAAAAACCTTCACCCATATAAGCCTCTAAACCCCGCAAAGCCCAGAATCGAAAACCAAGTCCCAAAACCCAGTTGACCGCTTCAGGGTTTGGTTATTAATGTACGTGTGAATCAGACGATTCAAAAACATTACAGGTTGTCCTTATATTTCTCGGACATTCTCACATCTAAAACTACAGTCCCGAATGCCCGCTGACCTCATTAACTTGGCATTGTAAACCCAAAGCCTGGCTAAAGTCCAATACCCGCAACCTCGAGCCCGAAAACCAACTTCCCATCTTTGTAATGTTATCATGAGCTCCGCAAAGGGCTTGTGGAATCCTATCTTTGCTAGCTTTTATCTTGCTAACCCAAATCACCCGAGCCCCTGAATTTGAAACCCACCTGAAAGCCAGAGCCGCCCTGGACTGCCTGTTCCCAGGCTCGAAGATGCTGGGTCGCCTCGGGGGCAAAACGTGTTTTGGAGGGAGGGTCCGAGTGGTGGCTTTAGGGCTGAAAGTTTACTGTGGTTTGAGAGTACGCAAGGGTTGAACGTTTCGGGCTTGTTGGTTTTATACATGGTTTCCGATGGTTGCATGAGAGGTCTAATATTAAGGGGCTTGCTCAAGGCTGCTGTGGTCTAGATCTAGAATGGCGCGGCATGCAAGCTTAAGGTGGTCGAAAGCTTGAACGCTTTATTTGCTGGGATGGAGCCTGGAACCGGGACGCCTCTGAAGTGCCCTCCGTGTGCCGTCACGGAGCTACGCGGTGACTGGAAGTTCTTCAAGGAGTTTCGAAACAAACCGGGCCCCATAACAGTAGTCTCCATTGTAGTTCCTTTGTTTGGTTAACCAATACATATATTATAGGATCCTAACCATAAAACTGGTTAACCAAAAAAGGAACTACAAAGGAGACTCTATGTGTAAATTAAAACCCCAACCCTGAACCATGATAGAACCCATGCGGCTTCTTGCAAATTGAGGAATGGTTTGGATTCGTGAAAGTGGGGTGGTCGAGCAACCAGCTCTGCCACCATTGCAAGGTGAACCTTAAGAACATGTTCGATGATCCAAAACCTTCTTCGATGGCTGATATTCCCCGACGCGACCTTATCAACTTCGAGCACGTGTGCACGAAGATGACAGATGATTGCGGTGAGAAGTGCTACTTGTATTTTTAATCAATAGCTTTTGAACCCCATACATATTATATTACTATAGTATATAACCCTAGCCCTAACCTCCGCACGACTGCACGGGGCTTTGTCTCATCGATGTCGACAAGGCGTACTTCTTCGGCTGCAGGGCTTTCACCCAGCTATGCTGCGGTGGTGTTCGCTACACACCATTAATTTAGGAGTTCTGGTGTGGACCCTCGCCGGCAGCATGAGGATCTTTGCTGAGAAGGCTTGAACACAAGCCCCAAACTAAAGCTTCAATCTAGGAAAACCCATAATATAAAGGCTTATGCAGGTTCCTTGCAACTTGTAGCATGGACCCCCCTGATCCGTGCATCCAAGCATCGTAATATATTATATACGAATGTCGTCCCTGGCGCAGGAGGTGTGGGGCGGCGGCACGCTGGCGGAGAAGCTCAACGCCGCCTTTGTCGAGTTCAAGGCTTTCTGTCATGATCGGAAAATCATCTGTTCCCAACCCAAGTTTCTTCCGAAGATGCTGGCCCGAAATGGGGATACCGAGTTCACTGGCAAGGCGTACAACGCAGCGAGGTTGCAGGTCAGGAGTTTTGTTGTAATTATACGTAGGGGTTTTAGAACCGTGAATTCGAGTTCGAGTCCCGGATATCCAAATAAGCAATCATCCCTCGATTGGAATTCGAGGCAAGAGTCATGATTGCCTGGATTGCCAACACTGCGGCCCTCCAGCTGTACAAGCCGGACTATGCAGGGGATGAGCTCATGACATCGATTGCTGAGTGTACGTTTCTTGGATAATGATCAAAAAAGCATCCCCTAGATCTATATGCATAGCACGGTCTTATTGCAGGTTCTCGCTCGCTCGCATGATGGACCACTCCGAAGTATCTCCACGATACCTTTGCCTGTCCGATGTGCAGAAGTTCGAAGCTCTGGGTGACGCCAGGTTGCAAATTGAATATGCTACCTATCATGAATCTAGGGACCTGAATACCCGGATTTTAACAAACCCACGTGGCCTGCAATCCCAGGAGACATCGCTGCAGAAGTACGGCCACCTCGCTTCGCTATCGGCAATGGCTGGGAGGCCTTACTTTCCAGTGAAACCCAAACTTCATGCAGCCTGGTTGCGATTAGCATTCATAAAGCTTGCTTCCAATACCTCGATCGAATTATTGCTCGCTTCACTCCCTAGGGCATGCTCGAATTGCTCTATCACTGCGTTCGCGAGCGCTACAATTGGAGATACTACCATACATTTGCCAGCGAAGATTTTAACGGGCACTTCATCAGAGCCTTGGCAGAAATAATGTGTAGCCTGCTGGGACGACAATATTTTTAAATGCAACTTCCCCCGCGAGGCATTGCTGAGAAAGTCCACGCACGATCGCTCGAAAGGAGCTCTTTGCGACGGTACTTTCTGTGGCTACTGGGCTATTATTCGATTCGTCTAGTCTAGCTTGTGAGGTTTGTTCGTTTTGGGTCCTTGGGTTTTGCAGTGCAATAATAAGTAATTTAGATCTCAGGCTGCAAACGAGGCTGCAGCTGTAGATGTGCGATTCGGCGAGCAGCTGCGTTTTGATGCAAGCGCCGCTGTGTGACAGCATGTGTTTTGACGCAAGCTGCGAATGAGGATGCTGGGATAGCTAGCTTGGCATGGCGAGCAGCAAGCAGTAAAGTAGTGCAGCTCGAAGCATGCTGCCGGGGAGCTGAGCTGCTGCCGCGTGGCGGAAAAATCGCAGCTCGAATCGGTGGGCTCCAATTGCAAGCCCTCATCTCGGAGCCTAAACCTTCCTGAACCTCAAACCCTCGGCCCCAAACCCTATTTCCTTCCAAAGGGTTTTACCTTTGAGCTCCAACGTTAACGACCTATGATCTATGCCCATTCAAATCTTAATGCAAACCCGCGGCTTCGATCGAGCCCTGAGCCCCCGAACCGTAACCCAGAAATTGATTAGTATATATACACCCCATTATAACGACCGAGAACGTTTCCGGATCGATCAATCTCTCGAGCTCACGATCTCCCTGACTCTCTCTGGGATCTGGGGTTTGGGGGCCGGGCATGTGCGTGCAGGTACGACTTGTGTGTGTGTGTGTGTGTGTGCCTCTGTGTGTGTGTGTGTGTGCGTGTGTCTGTGTCAGTGTGTCTGTGTGTGTTCGTATACATCGATCAAAGCTTTTGCTCATGCCTTCCTTTTTTTCATAGCTTCTACAACACAAAAGTTACTATTTCTATACTTTTGTCCATTCCCATACATATGACCATTTGTGTGCGCGGAAAGGCCACTCTTCCAAATAACGGCCGCGATTTGCATGTACTGTCTATTCCGTTACGCAAGAGCCTTTGGGAACCAGGTTGGCGCGCATGCCCAGGGCCGCCATGAGTATCACATCGGTGTCGCTTGAGGTGAGCTGGAACTCGGGGTCCGCAGCCAAGTCGAAGTGACACAGGTCACCATGGCGAACGTTAATGTGCGGGTCCAGGCGCCTCCACATCATCGGCAAAGGCAAAGCCGCCATAGCAGAAGCAGGGCGGGCGAGAGTGGAAGCTGTACGCGAGGTGAGGGTGCTGGCGACGTATGTCACCGCAATCTGAGCCAAGGGACAAACACGGAAGTAGGGTGGGAGCAGTGCACGCGCAAGCGACCCAGAAGCACGCCTTTTCCGCAGGAGCGAGAGAGATCATGATCCGGGTCACGGTGGCGTACCACCAAGCCCTACTTCAAAAAAACCCTGTTGGTCAGAAGGAGCGCCGGAGGTCACTCGGCCCCCTCACGGAGGAAGGCCTGGTAGCCGTGCCGACCGGCGTCGTCGTTCCTCGTGCGCGAGACGGCATCCGCCGTCGAGGATCATCAGGAAGGAACTTGACCCAGGCCCGCCGAATGCGTCGTTCAAAGACCACGCAGTTCGCACCGCGCTGGGATGCAAGGGTCAGCGCGAAAGTGACAAAGAGCGGGTCGATGTCGCTGGAGGAAGTAATCTGGAACATGTCGTAGCCAGGGATGTTGACGTTGACCGGCATCTCGTTCCACGAACTTGCCATGTTGAACAAGAGGCCGGGGCGGATCAGGGAACGGAAAAAGGACGTCGTCGTATGCCGACGTGCTGCGAGCCCACACAATAGCAAGACTGAAGGAAGCCAAGGCAAAGGACCAATGCCAAATGCAAGCACAAAAGGATGCCCACCCCCCCCTTTTTGGCGACGGCGGCCTTGCTTTCGCAGCAGGCAGCAATATCCTGCGACCTCCAGGCACAGGACGGCTGCGACGCAAGAGCAGCCAACGCCGAACCGAGACACCAACCTCCTTGCCATGTAGCACAGAGATGAAGCAAGCCTGAGGCCCGTACGGCTGGAGTGGCTGCAATGCCTGGCCAGACTCAACTAGTGATGCGTTGAGGCTGAAGACATGCGGGCAGCATTTACCTTTGTCCCAACGCAGACGGCTTGGCAGGGGTTCAATCCATGTCCTCCAAACCGGCAGCTCTAGGCGAGGCCGTGGCTCGAGGGATGCAAGTCAATGAAGGTCGCACCCCCATCGGGTAAAATGTCTGCAACCGCGGTCCAATGCCTGGCACTCCGCTCGCTTCCCGGGAAGCGGCCTCTGGCAAGTCGTCACGGGTTACTCCAGAAGCCGGAAGACCTGTAGGTTCCTGCCCTTGGTTCTCGTCAGCGGTGGTTGTGCGCCCATTGCTGCCCGACTCAGGTGGTGCACTGTAGGCATGCCCGCTGGCCAGATGGCGCTGATGCTGCTCACACTGGGGGGTGTGCGTCTCCGCATTCGTATGGTCGCAAGGAGCGCAGCATCGGGTGTGCCCGACTCCCGCCACTCTCGAGCAATTCGGGGAGCAGCAAAGGGACAATGTTGACCGCCGCATCCGGCGCAACAGCCGGGCAACGTGCCACTCACATCGATCAGTGTGTTGCCCCACGCTGCATAGGGAGCAGCAGTGGCGGTGCCTGCCCTTGAAAAAGGTGCGTTGACATCCTGGGGTAGTGCACACATACGGGCAGTTAGCCCAGTGTGCTTCTTTATGACCACCCCGAGGAAGTGGATTCTCACGCGCCACCCGTCTGACGTCTTGGTTCCCGAAGCCGCCGCATCTAGGCCCATTGACGGAAGCCATACCACCTGGCTGACGACGTATGTCGTCGCCCCCTCCCCTCCCCCGACAGAACAATACTCGGTTTGAGGTGCAGGGCTGCAGGCAAACAAGCATGGACAACCACCACTGAGAAAACACGGACGCGGTGCCCCTCTGAGGCAGCCACAGAACAAGTCACGGTTTCAGCGCATCCTTACGGTGACAGGAGGGGCATGGCATGCAATCCGCAATTCTCCTGCGATGGGCCATTTGCATTTCTCAGGGGAAACTCGCATTCAAAAAAGTCCTTTGGCAGGAAGTCAACGAGATCTGCTGCGGGCTAATCCCTGCAAACACAAACTAGGGGGTACGCGCCCCCAGTGATGGCTCCGCACCACTGTAAGTGCGTCAGATCGGCCGCGATCTTTTCCGGCTGGTCTTCGGTTTGGGAGTCGGGATTGCGGGCGGAGCGTCGACGGTTGTTTCCACTGCTGTGGCAGCGTTCACAGGCTCGTCAGCCGTCGGGGAATCAACCTCGGCACTGTCCATAGGGTGTCTCCATCCCGAAGACTGAGCTTGATGACGGTCATTGCGCAAACGAACCGATCGCCTAGCGCCCTCTGAGGCAGCCCCGGGCCGGGCCGCAGCACAAGGCTTCTCAGCTGCGGAGCCTTCATCCGCTAAGTCCTGGCTAACGTAGACGGTCCAAGAGTGTTGGCCTTGTCGAGGCGCCAGAGGTCGCACATAGATAGCCATGGACCCTTGGGTGACTGCTGCAGGCTCGACGAAACCAAACGGTTGAACATGTCTGTGGCCTCCCTGTGGACGCGCTCGCCGGTCGGCTCATTGACCGGAACCGGCGCCGGCGGGCCGTGTCCAGGGTAAGCCGTCGGCTCTCCGTCTGACTCCGGCTCCGAAGGGAGCTCGGCAAGATTGATGGCAATGGCCTGCCTGCTCTTTGTCCCATGCCATAGAGTACCTTTTATACTTCAAGCCAGGTTGGTAAAAGGCAAGGCAGGCTCAAGACACTCGCAGACAAGAAGTCAATCCAAGGGGCGAGCAACTGTTAAACGGTTGGATCTACTTGGCGGCAGTTGCAGCAACCAACAAGGCACCTCTTACCAGGGCAGACACCAATGTGCCCAACTGCCAAGAGCCTGGCAGACTGCAGGCTAAGAGCCGACGACCATGCAAGAGGCTTGCGCAGGGTGGCATTGCGCATTGGAGGGGTCGAGGAAAGGAGCAGGCGTAAAACCCCCCCCACCAGATCTTCCGGTTCCGTGCTTGGCGCAGCAGTCGGCTAGTCGGCGTCGCTGCATATGGACAAGTGGCTCTGAGGAACCTGTCGGCACATACTGTGTCACAACATGCCTCTCGAACGCTGACAGGCCGCATAGCAGCCACGTCCGAAAGACTCGAGAAGATTCGTGGGCAGGCAGCTCTGCTCGAGACCTGACACAGAACCGGCATTGCCATTGCATCTGTATAAAATGCGTCCCGGCAGCAGCCGAAGAGACCACGAGTCTTTGGAGCTCAAGATCATATTAGCCGAGGATTACATTTGTGGCCTGTCAACAGGCACTTCAGGCTGGCCGGTTCTGTCGTGATCAACAAACCGACAAAACAAAGTTTCGAAAACATGCGAAATGGTTTCGTTCCAAGCTTTCACATACCAAAACAAATCGTACTCACATGACATGCAAAACAAGGCT